GGTGGGGGGGTTGCTCAGCGCCACGCGGGGTGCGGGTGCCGGGCCCGCCCGCGACGACCGGAAGTCTGCGAAGCGAACCGTGACGCGGAGATGGGGAACGGTCGGTAGTTTACAGAAAGGAAAGCAAATGCCGACCTAGGACGGCGATGCCGTTACACCCATGCTGCCGGAAGGGGGCACAGCTGTGGCCTGAAGCCAGATCGAGTCGCCCCAGAGGACCCTGCTATCACTCGGGGTGCGGTAGGGCGCCCCTCCCATCCCACGGCCGTTTCTCGGACTTTTGCATTAGCGACAGTCTGCAATACTACCTTGTGATTTTAGGTACAGTGTGTCCTAGAATAAAAACAAAAATAACACGAAATCGATTAAAAAAAAAATCCTTGGATTTCTTATCAATTTAGATAACAAAAATAAATCTAGGTGCTCAATCAATCTAGGTTTATCTCTTCAAAGCAATCAGCCAAAAAGGATCAGATTATCTCAGCCATTTGCCGGACTCTGAAACAGGGAATCAAGTAACTGAAAAGCTGTAGGATTAAACCAGACTCTGGGGTAGCACATTTCCACAGTGGACCCTGGAACTTTCCAGAAGTATTGTACAGAAAGCATGCATTTCTTTCACTTCTTATGCTCCAGTGGCTGGAAGTCCTGTGCCCACGTCCTCGTGGGAGGGCCTACCTGCCTAGCTTGTGAACCCCCACTGCTCATCCCCCAGGGTCCACCTTGGCCCGCAGCACCCACTACTCTGCTCAGCGCCCCCGGGCCCCCTAACCCACCCACGGTGCTTCCACCTGCCTGTCCCTGGAGACTGCTGTGACCGTGACCCGAGAGGCAGACAGCTCTTGGGTTCTGACCAGCAAGGTTAGCACAGACAGGCCCTGCCCCCTTCCTGGAACTCAGCGGTGCCGCCTCCCTGCTCCTCCCCGGCTCACCCCTCTGGGTGACCACAACGTCGTGGAGTGTCCCGGCTCTCTCCTTGCCCTGTCCTCTGTCTCCACGTACTCTTGGTGACCCTGCACTCACCATACGGCAATGTGTCTTCCGCCTGGACCACTTCCAGAACCTGAGCCCAGCATCGCCATGGCTTCCAAGTGCATTGCCCATCACACAGCCGGATGGGGCTCGGTGCCCTGCACCTGCAAACGTGCTTCTCGCCTTCCTTCTGTCTCAGCCACAGCAGCACCCGCCACCCAGTGTCTCGACCCAAAAGTCCAGGGCGTTTCCTGCTTCCTCTGCCCCTTCCCCAGCCTCTCGCAGGGCCCACCACCCCGTCCTGCAGACCTCGCCGCACGCCCGCTGCCCTCCCCGCCTCAGCTCTCCCTGCCCCGACGGACCGACAGCTGACACTCACCC